TATAACATAATAAAGTTAAAAATGTAAAATACTAAAAGTGCGTCTAGCTATAACTTTTAAAAAAAAGTATATTACAATTAATTTAAGATATATGTAAAATTGTCAGACTTTCCGGAACACTTTCAAAAGTTAAGTTGAAAAAGTAATTGTTTGTGAAAAAGTTGTCATTTTAAATCCCCCTATGGGCAGGTAAAGGGTCAGATTTATAAAAAAAATATACGAAATGAAAGATAATAATATCATGTATCTATATAAAAAAAAATTACATTGATTTTGTTATTTTTAAAAAAGTTATGGCATTTTTAAGTAAAAAAAATTTTAAAAATTTCTAAAATTAGCGATTTTAAAATTTGTAATTTTTTTGGAGGTTTCCCTCATTTACGGGGAATGAGGGGATTTTTTTCAATTTTTGAGCATAATGTCTTCGACTAGATACGATTTGTGATCTTTTGACGTATCGTTGAAAGAAATCCGTTCGGTGAGAGCTGAGAAAAAGTGGTAACAGACACAAAAAAAAAACACATCATAGTAAAACCAATACCTTCCAGCTTCGCATCGAAGCTAATAATTATTTTTGTATCATATATTAAAATATATTTCTAGTTAAAACTATAAACTAATATTTCACACGAATTTAATTACGAACTATCATTATTGGTTTTTTCAGATGTTTTTCTAATACATCCAACAACACTTAACTTTGTTTAGAAGTTTGTTAGGTCTGAATTTTAACAGCAGATTATTGTTCAATTTGAAAGGATGTTATTTGAAAATTTTATGACGACATAATATTTATATATATATATGATGAATGTACAGGCTGATTTTTTTATCATAACCTGCTCAATTACACCCAGAATAAAAAAATTTAACTTTTATGTATATGTATAAATGTATTTTTAATCCCTTATAATGTATATAAGAGAAAAAAAAAATAACGGTCACTAATTTTTTTTTTAAACGTCGCTATTCGCAGGCACACATCATGTTTATCAATTATGACTATATTAACAGATATGCTTAAAGTATGACAGTAAGGCACATTGTTGCGAATTTATAAATACACCAACTGGCAATACAGAAAGCACATCTATTGATAAAGTAATAATTGAAAATAAGTACTGCGTACTTGCAAAATGCGACGCCAAGAAAAAACCATTAGTTACCTGTATTTGTAATCCCTCATATATTACACATGTATATTAACTTAAAAATTTGAAACATTTAAGTTTTTATCTAATAAACAAATAAAGTTATAATAGAAATTCAAATGTGATTTTCTATTAAAATAAAAACTCAAACATTTTATTAAATTCATAATATGTGTACCCATTTCAAAAAACGAAGTTGACACCCTTTTAAAACATAAGGAATAAAATTAAAAAGTATTACATAGATAATAATTAAATTATAATATGTAATTAAGGTAAACAAATAAAAAATATTTAATTTATTTTTATTCTGTATGTAATTGACTGGTTTATGATAAAAAAATCACTCTGTATACCTAATATTTTTATATTTTTCCATGTATAACATGGAATTAATTCTTGAAAACAACGATAAAAGAAAAATAATGTTGTGTGAAAAGTGATAAAGTTACAGTTAGGAAATATAATTTAATAATAATATTATAATCTGTTATAACTGAGTCTTATCAAGAGTTTTGACCATTTCATTACAAATCTATTGATATTCTTTTTTTATATAAAATTTTTATAACTTTTTTTATTGTCCAAATTGGATTTCTTCATTATTTCTGCGTTCAAAGGAAAATTAACTTATTCTTTTTATTATTGTATTTGTCTTTAAATCTAACTATCCGTCTTAAATAAACAATCTGTTATTATTCTTTCAGTATTCCTTTTGCCAAGTGAAGAGTTCTTTTCGTATACCAATCAAGTATATCTCAAATTAATATATCTATTACTAATTATATGATAATTGTTTTTCTCTTTTGAAGGTGATTTATTTTATTAATGTTAGGCAATCATTGGTTGAATATTAACTATGACTCGCATAATACCTTAAAAGTAAACAATATTATTTTTTCTTTTCGATAGTTAATAGTATCCTATGTTTTATAATTTTCAAAAAAAAAAATTTTCCTATCTCCTCTATTTCCTCCTAATAATTTTATCAACTTTAATTTTTAAACGGAAACATATAAGTTTAACCAACTTACAATCTAGAAAACGATCTATCTAAGAAAATGACTGGTCAATACAAATTACGAACAAGTAATTTTAAATTATTACATAGTGACTTTAATATAATGACTGAAGGAAAGCAGGGGTACAGTTACAGTTTATCACTAGGTGTTAATAAACTATAATACTCCTGCTTTGTTATAAAAATTCTAATATGTTTTAAAATAGCAGTCTAAAAGTTTTTATTAATCAGTCTACTTTTTATAATTTGTAAGTTGATTAAACATATATGTTTCTGTTTAAAAGGGTTGATGAGGAGAGATAGGATTAAATTATTTTTTGAGAAGTATAGAATTTAAGATACTATTAACTTATGAAAAAAAATTATATCATATTTTATATTTTTAAATATATTAGACGAGTTATAGTTAAATAATAACTCTGTATAAACAAAGTTACACCAGCTTTATTTCGAAATAACATTACCATTTTAATAACATGCGGTTATTTTATTCCTTGAATGATAGATTGAGTAATAAATGAACATATATAAATGTTAATAAATAAACAAAAATATACATTTGTAGTTAAGTATATACATAGTATATACTTTACTACGGTTATACCATTACAGTTTGGAATTGTAAATTGAAATCACAAGTGGAAATAACGCCACTAAGGGGCTCGGAAAGTATAAATCGTTTTAAGAATGACTAATAAATTCCATTTAAATTTATTTTAATATATTTTTACTCACTCTAGACCTATTAAAAAAAATGTATGTAATTCAATCCTAAAATTAATTTAAATTTAAAAACGTATTAAAATATAATATAGATATATAAACCCCTATGGAAAAAATAGAGAGTATTGATTCTATATTCAGATTCATTGGTGTATGACTTTATATTATTCCAATAGGTAAACTTCATTTTCTCCTTATTTAAAAGAACCTTAAACACTGTTTTCTAAAAATGTAGAATATGTTTTAGTAGTTCCAGTTAAGAATGCTTACTAAAGAAAAATATTACCTATATAATACAAATTTTATATTAAGTCAATAATTATGATTTGAATCAAACAAAAAATTAATTATTAAAGTTAAACTTAAATAATTAAACTATAATAATGATTTATATGTGTATTAAAGAAATTATTTTTTCAATTGTGTATTTTTTAGTATAAAATATTTTCATTATTATTGTGAATCTGTGGACAACTTTTTGTCAAGTTATTTGTTACAGAGGTATAATTTTCATCCCGTTAATTGTTCAAAGTTCACTTTTTTTTTCTTAGGCAACCTATCATAAACTGTAATTACATTAAAAATATGAAGAACTTTGCAAAACTTACGCACAGTTTATATATATATGTAAACGAAACATTTACATATTTAATGAAAATCTGTCATGTTTCAAACAAAACTATTACATTTTATAACGACGGCTAAAGCGTTAATAAGAGATAAGTTTTAAAGTTAAATTAATATAAACTTTTATATTCCAAGTGTGCTATGTAAAATTGTTTGTCTATAATGAAAAATATAAACTATAATGGTACATTCTATACATAGCGTAGTAATTTGTGAAGAATTATTATGTGAAACTAGCTTTATCCAACAATATCCATAATATTTAAATAATTTATCATCAATTTAAAGAAGCAATAAATATTAATTAATATTATTAACTATATTTAGAATATTATGCAGCACTCGTTAAAACAAAAGTTGTTAATATCAACTGATTTTTAATTTTAGACTTGATTTGTTCGACAATAAATTTNTTAGAATATTATGCAGCACTCGTTAAAACAAAAGTTGTTAATATCAACTGATTTTTAATTTTAGACTTGATTTGTTCGACAATAAATTTTACTTTAAAATAATATCATAATTAATATTTTAATAATTTTCAATATGTCGAGATACCGTTTTGTTTTATAACTACAATTTAATATTTTTTTAACTAAATAAACTATTTGTTAAAAATTAAATCTTCAATAATTAATTTCAATATTAATTTAATACATAATATGCATTATAATATTTATGAATTAAATTAATTTGAAAAAAAAATAGTAAATTAAATTACTTAATTGGAAAAATTTGAAAACAATATATTTTATCACAAATAAAATTCTATAAAAATAAACAACAACCATTATATTGAAGTCGTAACACTCAAGAAAACAGTAAACCAACTTTATCATTGTTAAATGTTTTGGCGCAAGAAAAGTTTTTATTTGTTAAAACAGTGAAAACGCGTAAAGAACCTAGTAATACTATAACTATAATTTGGAATTTCCATTTTGAACTTTCTAAACAAGAAATATAAAATAAAGAGATATAAAAGGTTATCTTAAAGTATAGGATAAGATGCCGAAGACAAGTAATAATGAAAGTATTTGAGTAAAACTGAATGTGTATTTCAAAATTATCATACAGTAAGTTTCATCGATTGATCTTGTTAATACGAGTACTTAATATTTTAAAATTATGTTTAAAAATATATTCCATAATATATATTAACATATTATTTTATACAAGAATGAACTTAGGAAACCCTATGGTCCCATATATTTGAAATTCAAATAAAATAATCACATAATAGTAATCTCATAAAACTATTAACGTAATTAATATATTATTTATACATTAATTGTATTATTGATGAATCTACTGGATGCTTAACCAATTAAAATTACAATTAAACAATTGTAGACTAAATAAAAATATTTCAACAACAATACACTTTAGAATTTAAAAATTAAAATTGCTAACAATGATAATTATTAAATATTGAATGTTTTATTTATCATTTTTAATAAGATAAAATTCGTATGTTGTAGGAAACATTGTAATGGAAAATCAAAAAATCCACTAAATGACAATATAATGGATAAATAAAAATTAATCACCATACTCTAATCGAACAAATCTAGCATTTAAGAAAGTTTTAATAGGTAAGTTTTTTATATTAAATAAAGAATGATAGAAATAGTCATACATTATTCTGATTAATTTTTTTTTAAAAGTGTAATGGTCAAAATCAAATAACAAAAATCATGAAATTAATTATATTCTATAATGAAAACAATGTATGCATATTTTTATTAAAAATTATATTAAATATCACTATTAAAGATCAAGTTAATTCTTAAATATATCGCAATTACTCATTGAGTAGTCAAATTATTTAATTAAAATTGCACAAAAAATTTATAATACTGTCTACCTACTTATGAAAGCAGCAATAACAAAATTACTGTGAGTAAATTAATTTAACAATTTTCCTATGCATTGAAAAGAATCCACTTTTTAAGTTAAATTTTAGCTTCGATGCAAAGCTAAGAAGGTATTGATTTTACTATGATGCGTTTTTTTTTTGTGTCTGTTGCCACTTTATTTAGCTATCGCCGGACCGATTCCTTTCAATGATACACCAAAAGATCACAGATCGTATCTAATTGATGCCACTGCCCTTAAAACTTGAAATAATTTCCCTCGTTTTCTATAAATGGAGGAAATCCCCAAAAAATTACAAATAATAAAATCGGTAAATTTCGACATTTTTTAAATTTTAATTTTTTTTAAAATAAAAAACTTAGGTATATCCCTTTCATTTGATATAATTTTTTTGAAAACTTATATCTTTAAACTTGTAATTAGGATATAAATAAGTGTTTGTTTTGTTTTTAGAATAATATACCAATTTCTTAGAATTAAACACTCACTATTTATAGATTTGCATCGAAGCGTTTCTTATGATAGTGATTTTAATCACTGTCAGATATCATTTATACTTATCCCAACTATGTCACGTCTACGCTGTGATTCTATTTTTAAACATTTATGTAATTTCTAAATGACATTTTTATATTTTCTAAATTTACCGGTAGAAGATAGCGAGGTGAACATTTGTTTTTTTTTTTTGTTTATTAGTGATAAATAATAAGAAATTTGCTAGGAACATAGGATAAGAAAGCAATAATTATTTTAAAAATAATTTCATTGAAACAATAATTCGATCAAAAATCATTAGATTTACTAGACCTTCGTGACTCACCTGTATAATATTAAAAACAAAATCTTGAAATGATAAAAAATTAAATGACTCCTTTAACAAAAAAAAAAAAAAAATCATAATACTCATTTTTACCAAAATGTATCTTATTAATTTTTTATTTTTAATATAAACTACTCAAGACAGGAAAGTATAATTTTTAGTTTTTAATGCAGTTATTAAAAACCATTATTTGAAACGCGACATCCTTTAATTTCAATCACTATGACAATTGTTAATTCTTTGTTGGTGAGGTTTTTTAGCTATGCAGTTCCAATCTTTTAAATCATTTAATTTTTAAATTCTATGAAATCCTGAAAAAGTTCTTTTTACAATTATTTTTCTCCTGTTAGTATAATATTTTATAAATCCAATACCAGAAAAATTTACATAATAACCATCAGTTGTTTTTAAAGAGCTTGTAGTCATAAAATGCTTTTTTTTTATTATTAAATCCATTTCATAAAATGTATGGATATAATTGTCTCTATAAAGCACTTAATCAACTTTATCGGTAGGTTTGAATTTTACACACCAAAATATTGATTTTAATAAGGATTAAAAATGCTATTTTTTTTTTAAATTACATTTTGCTCAATATTAAAAATAATGAAAATATAACTATTTTAAAAATGTTTTACATAACAATTAAGTTAAATTAATTTCCTTAATTATCATTTTAATTAAGTTAAATTAATAAGTGATGTAATATTTTTGTTATGAAATACAACAAAAATTAAATCATTTAAAAATTAAACAGTAATTACGTTAGTTAATTTATATAATTTTAATACCATAAAAGATTATTAAATAAATTGCAGCTTATAAAAAACTTTAAGTGGGGTTTGTTTTTCAGCCCTTTAAATAAATATATAAATCACAAAATTGAATTAAGATTTAGAAAAAACAAATAATTTTTATCTATTAATATAATAATTAATAATGATTATAAATTAACATCTCAAATATAAATATTTTCTAAATTATGGAACTTTTAATATATCTTTTTTAATTTTGTTTCTGAACCCGTGAAATTAAATATTTATTTAACTAATGTAATTTTAGTTTTAGTATAATTTTAATTATATACACAACTAACAATTTGTAGCTGGATAGTTGACTACCCAAAATAAACGATAAACCTTCGAACTCCAAATGATCATCACAACTATTATTAAACAAAATCACTAACAATATAAACAAAGCAATTATTTGAAGGTAGATTTTAAAGTTTGTATTGAATGAAAAACCAATATCAATTGAAAGATAACCCGGGTAATAGATGGTCATCCCAAACTAAAGAAAGATAATGCTTTAAAAACAGAGCAGTACAGCCATTAGATTACAATTATTGTCTAACAACTATATAAAGGAAATTGCACACCCCTAAAAGGACATTTTGGACTGTCGTTTCTTTTTATAGAGTTTTTATCACTACAAGTACATTATAGGAAAAAATATTGAAAATGTAAAAGAAAACTCAAGGGTCGCTTGTAATTTTGTGTAGATAAAAAAAAAATAAAAATTGTCTAATGCAAAAATTGTTATTTATTTATTTTCAGTTATTTAATGATTACCTTGTACATTTTTTTATTTACATTAATTTATTATACATTATTAATTTTAACTGGCTTGCCCCTCTACTCTGTTGAAATATGAAAAAAAATACTTTTAAAAAACTTGGTCAAAATTGTGAAACCTTATGTTTTAGAAAAAAAGAATTTAATAATTTTGTAAACATAGAATCGCTTAACTTATTTTAGCTTCGATGCGAAGCTGAGAAGGTATTGGTTTTACTAAGATGTGTTTTCTTTGTGTCTGTTACCACTTTTTCTCAGCTCTCACCGAACCGATTTCTTTCAATGATACGTCAAAAGATCACAAATCGTATCTAGTCGAAGACATTACCCTTAAAAATTGAAAAAAATTCACTCGTTCCCCGTAAATGGGGGAAACCTCCAAAAAAATTACAAATTTAAAAATCGCTAATTTTCGAAATTTTTTTTACTTAAAAATGCCATAACTTTTTCAAAAATGAATATATCAATATAATTCTTTTTTATATAGACGCATAATATCATTACCTTTCATTTGGTATATTTTTTTCATAAATTTAATCCTTAACCTGCCCACAAGGGGGGATTTAAAATAACAACTTTTTCACAAAAAATTAATTTTTTTAACTTAAATTTTGAAAATGTTCCGGAAAGTCTGACACTTTTATATGTATCTTAAATTATAGCTAATGTAATGTTCATTATTATGCAAAAAAAAATTCGGACTTCATCTTATCTTCAAGGTGAAAATGGCTACCAAATGCTATTTTTGTGTGAAAATTTTCGATTTTGTATTTTCCATTTTTAACTTTATTATGCTATAACTTTTGGAAAGACGTATGGATCAATATAATTTTTTTTATGGATACATGATGTCTTTAACTATCATTTGGTATATTTTTTTTATAAATCTGACTCTTTACCTGCCTACAGGGGGGATTCGAAATGACAATTTTTTCACAAAAAAATTACTGCTTCCACTTAACTTTTGAAAGTGTTTCGGAAATACTAACACTTTTATATATATCTCCAACTATTGCTTATGTAATATATTTTAATATGAAAAAAAAATTTCGGAGTTTATTGTATTTTCGTGGTAATTTGTTTTTATATAGATTCATGATATCATTACCTTTCATTTGGTATATTTTTTTTATAAATTTAACCCTTAACCTGCCCACAAGGGGGGATTTAAAATAACAACTTTTTCACAAAAAATTAATTTTTTTAACTTAAATTTTGAAAATGTTCCGGAAAGTCTGACACTTTTATATGTATCTTAAATTATAGCTAATGTAATGTTCATTATTATGCAAAAAAAAATTCGGACTTCATCTTATCTTCAAGNGAAAAAAAAAATTTCGGACTTTATCTTATCTTCATGGTGAAAATGGCTACCAAATGCTATTTTTGTGTGAAAATTTTCGATTTTGTATTTTCCATTTTTAACTTTATTATGCTATAACTTTTGGAAAGACGTATGGATCAATATAATTTTTTTTATGGATACATGATGTCTTTAACTATCATTTGGTATATTTTTTTTATAAATCTGACTCTTTACCTGCCTACAGGGGGGATTCGAAATGACAATTTTTTCACAAAAAAATTACTGCTTCCACTTAACTTTTGAAAGTGTTTCGGAAATACTAACACTTTTATATATATCTCCAACTATTGCTTATGTAATATATTTTAATATGAAAAAAAAATTTCGGAGTTTATTGTATTTTCGTGGTGAAAACAAACATAAAAGTTAAAAAAAAATACGATTCCTATAAAAAAATTATTTGTTATATTTTAATTTTATAAAGCTATAACTTTTTCAAAAATGTATGGATCATTATATTTTTTTTAAGATAAGTACTATTTATATTCTTCTTTTATACGACGCACTTTTTTTTT